ATTGGAATGGATAGAATAGCTAGCAGCAGATGAATGTAAACAAACAGACACGTCATATGTGTGCGTGACACTGAGAAAATGCTAATAGAAGTGCGGAAGCTACTTAGATTGACGAGAATACGTAAATTCCCCTATATTGCCAAAGCATGCTCAATCGGAATGCTTGTCGTGCAGGTGCCATTCTTTAGTAACGAAGCCAATTCCGTATTTCCTTCTGCTTGCAAAGCCATTCCTGCAGCAAATTTCAGTTCTTGCGGAGTAAATGATTTACGCAACACTTCTGTTTTTCGCCGCTTGGTTCGATCACAAACGTCTTCAAAATCTTTTGAAGGACGACCACCTACATTCCGCATTGTTGAAGATGATGTTGCTTCATCAAAAACGACGAACTCTTCTAACCTAAGAAATTAAATAAAAGCAAAAAATAATTAACCGTAAAAAACATGAAACAATAACTACAAACCATTGCTCATTGGTCTTCAAAATCTGATCCTTTTTTCGATTCGTATCCTGCCATCTTCGTTGAAACTCCTTAAAAAGCTTGGAAACGATCTCATCACGACCTTCTACCATAGAGGTAACTCTAAGACTAGAAGGTCCCGAAATAACGTGCTCAACTTTTTGGCTCAGCTCTGGTACTCTCTTCGGTCCCAAGCTAATCGATTCACCCCTCGAAACATAGGAAAAACGAATAACCCCTCATTTCATCTGTCAAATTTTCATGGTGAATCAAAACAAACATTGCGTAGTACTAGAATTTCGACTAGAATGGGATACGTTAATCGTTTGCTTGGGACCAATAGGCTAGTCAAGTAGTGAGCCAATTTAAAATCGTTAGTTTCGTATTGATTGTTGCTTCTACCGCACATCCAACATATAGCGACACATATTGGTCGACAGCTTTGCGTTTCTGCTCTACACGCACATCGCTACAGTTTAGAGCACCCTCCAATACGTCTTTTCTTTTTAAGTAAACTTCTATAAAATATAAACAAATATTACTTCTAATATAACTAGAAATTTCATTGTGTGTTATCTATACCGTTTTTCTTAGAGCACATTTCCACTAAACCACACAAAGAGTGATTAACAATTTGAAAGTATTTGCTGGAACTCTACTTTTTATCAATATGATTACCGATCACTGATGATTGTTTATCAGCAACTCCGTTCGGTATTGCGAATGTGTATTGACATTTGTTTCACTTTCGACAAGTAAAATGAGATGAGGTATCATCATTCTTTTGTTCGCTGCCGCGCGCTGTATTGACGAGTGCACGGATGGATTTGAGTTCACTCACTCGACAAAAAGTGACACAACAGCGGGGCCCTGTTTACTAAAAATGAACACATATGTGTTCATTTTTAGTAAACAGGGCCCCGCTGTTGTGTCACTTTTTGTCGAGTGAGTGAACTCAAATCCATCCGTGCACTCGTCAATGGTATCTCTTCGACAAGTGAGAAAAAAAGATCAATGTATATTATAGCCCACACTCAGAGGAGCATGTATGAAAGCGTTGAAATGAGATTGGTAAGGGACATTTCACATTTTACGTAGTTCACATTTTGAGACTATCTGATCCCATTGTAAATCGTAAAAGAAATGAATCCTTATATAACATCAACTTCAGCATTAACTTAGCTCTGAGTTCGCACCTTAAAAACGTCACGTGGTTTATGGACGGTCCCTAAGAATACCAATCAGTTTTGTCAGCTAACATGTGTGTGTAGTTGAATCGATCCATTGAATGAAAAACGTAGGTAATCGAACTTTTTTAATAATTTATACGATTTTATAGCTTTTGGACCACCCTAAGAGCAAAAAATACACAAGTAAGTTAATTTCAATATCAATAATGATTTCAGAACCCTTTTAATCAAAATCTCCATTCAACTAACACATCGTGATAGCTTATTATTGATTACTTTATACTTAACCCAAAATGAGCTGATTTTCATAATTTAGAACCACCCTAATATAATAAAACCAAAATATATGAAAAGTTTCATATCAGAAATACATTCAGGATACCAAAATCATCTTAACCTGTGAGTTTTAGCCATTTCGGATAACATATGAGGTTTTGTCCGACCTTTGTATGGAGGCCCGCCACTGTGCGATGGCCAAGTTCACCAACCAAACGAACTGCTGCAGCTGTAAATGGTGCACTTCACCGTCATTGCTCTCAGGTAAATGACTAGCGTAGCTCCATTATCCTTGACCTGCTTGAACATTTACAATGCTCAGCAAAAACCATGTCCAACATACTCTCGATCTCTGCATTTCGACGTTCTTCAATATCTGATATCTTCCACGGTCTTGACACTGTCCTTCCGCCACTTTCATGAATTGTCTCGTATTTTCCCGAGCCCAAATGTTTGGTAGCGCATCAGACAGTCAGTAGTTTTTTGTATTCAATTATTTAACTAACATAATTCAAATCCGGAGAACTTTGAGATTTGGGCGTAATTGTTTTTGTAAACAAACACGTCAATCACCGATTGCTCGCAAATAAACGCTCAATCTCGCAAACAATCTATACCAAATGATAGAGGAGTCATTCATCTACCTCTTTGTGTTGTTAGTTTTCGAAATTGAGCTTTAATTTGCGAGAAATCGGTGATTGACGTGTTTGTTTACAAAAGCGATTACGCCCTAATCTCGAAGTTCTCCGGAAATACTTGCTCTGCAATCTGATTACACACTTAATTTCATTTAAAACAGAATGAAGCTACAGTAATAATTGGATAAATAATCATAAATCGGTTTATTTTACATCAATAAACAACTTCACTAGCACTAGAGTGGGATGCCCCTGGTTACGTACTTTTGTAGATAAATTAAAGCCATATCTAGCAGGAATTCACATAGCGATAAATGAGAACGTATGCACATTAGCCAAAACAGATGACCGTTTAACAAATTTTCCCGGCTTTGTAAATGAAAAAATGGCTACTGTGATTAAAAATAAGTATTCATTGAAATTGGCTAAATTTTTCGTCGTTTTTATTCAACGGCATGTTTTCGGCATAGGAAATATAGTTATGAACATTTCAAAAGTTAATTTTATCTAGTAAACCTTATTGAACCAACAAAAATGTTAAAGTTGCATTTTTCTCGATTTCGTGATTCAGGCACATTAGCCAATTTCTCATTTATGGGCAGATTTGGTGACCTCAGACTTCCTTCCGATTTATAGTCAAACGTTCGTTGTACCGGTTTAAACCACGGATTACCGTAGCTTGTACCATTCCCGGCTTCATGCTGATGGCACGATGAGAGAGATCTGGATTTTCGAGGCACGTGCGCAACATTTTTTTTGCGCCGTTGCTGTTCTTTGGATTCCATCTTCGTAACGATTGCACAGCTGCTAGTGAAATTTACACAAAACTCTTAAACAATACACATAGAACTAATTTCACCCAAAATTTCAACAGAAAATACCCGATGGGTAAAAATTTACAGCCATATGAAAATGATGCAATTTGATTCCGTACACCCTTTAATTCATTTTTTCACGAATGCTAATTAGACTTCATGATTTTTGACACATACCAGTTGATGCCTGCTTCTATATTGCTTACTACGACATGCATCCAAATGTGTCGATGCGGAATTGAGCCCTCAAAACGATTTTCTTGAAACATAACATTATATAAATCTTTTGATAATGCAGAAACATAACGTTTTTAAGACTGTTCATTTTACCCCAAGCCCGTGTCCATTTCACCCACACCCGAAACAAGTTGCGAATTTGGAGACCGTCTTTGATTCACTTAACAGATGTTATTATACAAAATATAAAATAATATTGGATATGTAGTTTCTTTAAGCATGAGTTGATCTTACAACATACGTATAATATAAACAAAATGCTGTATTAATTTACGAGCAAACAATGACAATCCTAAGGGTGTTCGTTTTACCCCGATTTCCCCTACGTCTTTAGGTTAAGAAGTTTATTACTAGACTGTACGGCTGAAAATCTCTATAGTAAAGATAACCAGAACCATTACTAGAATGAGTTAAAGTATTATTTTTCGCACACAGCCTGCTATGATCTATTGATTGGGTTCGAGCATTGCTAAGATGCAGAAGTAAACTATTGTAATGAACAACCTCGAATATCGTTACTTCTGCAACGAATTCCATGATCCCGAATGTGAAAAGAGCGAGCAGCAATCAAAAGACGGCATAATCGTTGGCAGTTTAGGGGGGAGAATGGTGGGAAAATGTTCAGAGTCCATACATTTTTTAAAACTTTATATGGATGATTATCTACGCAAGAGGAGGGGGTCTTAAACCTCACAAAAACTGTCCACGTGGAATGTGGACAGCCCCTTTGAGGTTATGACCATTCGGGGAAATGGTGTTCTGGAAAATTACATTCGGGTTGAAAACATTCGACTTATGGACAAGGACAAGGATTCTATCAATCCACAAATGGCCGTTGTCATGGCTGATTTGCCTTGTAAAATCAGCCAGGATAGCGGCCATTTGTGGATTCTATCAATTTTGTCCTTAATGCTACAAAATCTGGTGGAGCATTTTACCCATCCTGAGTAGGTATTTTAATCCCTTTTCTTAAATTGATGATTAATTTTAATTCAGGTCATAAAAGGTAACAAATCGGAGTTTCTAATCAAGTTGGGTGAGATGGAATTCCCGTTTCGATAATTCAATCATTTTCTAATAAATCAACTAGCTGATTTATTTTTTTAATTGATCATCTTATTAACGCACATGCCTGACATAGACAATCACGCCATTCAAAAGATCTTTTTACTCAAAATTCTATAAATTCTCCATTATTTGTATTTGATGGTTCTACCTAACATTGCGCAGGTGAATAGCCCATTCATCGTTCGCAGACTTTGTTTTGTCTGCAAAAAAAAACAGTTCTTATTTTAACCGCGTATCACCTTGTCGAATATATTCGATAAGGAATGATGTGAATCTTGCAAGATATGGTTTTCGCTATAAAAATGTACCCCACTGCGATGTGAAACGTTAGTAGAGTTCGATAACTCGAAAATTTCGTTACCATGAAACAGTTCGTGGGTTTGTTGGTCCTTGCGGTGGCGGTGGAGCTGGTTTCGGGGCGTAAGTGTCGTGATATCGAGAAATACACCCAATATTGTCCATACAAAAACACGAGCATATGGGTGATAGTGTGTTCATACTGAATTGATATGTTTGGTGAAGTTTATGAGAAGTTGGGAATCAAACATTAAGCTATCGATCAAATGGATTCTGAATGCGGAGCTGTTATTTTTGGCTGGTTTAAACTCAGATTTTAAGGACAAGATTGACGGAATCCTTCCACATTGCGTTTCCAGAGGCACTAATCTCACCATCCAGAAGCCGCATGGATCTGAAAATTAAACGCAGTGCTTGCTTGTCTGCATCATATACTTAGATACATTTTGAACTTCGTACATTAAGCCAGTAGATTGCAAGATGTGGGCCCATGAAAATTAAGTGTTAAAACGAAATGTATGGAAAAAGGATCGTGTTCTTTTAAAGCTTCGAAATTAGTAGAGCCTGGTGTCATTATGTCATGAAGAAGTTGTGTTTGGTGCTCATATAGTGCTAGTTCATGATATGGAGACGCCTGGTGTACCATAATTTTTGCCACGTGTTAAGTTTTAAATTTTCTGTTCAGACTTTGCAGACTTCTGAGTTTGCAATGATAGGATGGAGCACTATTTTGTCATATGGTGCCCAGTTCCATCATACATCTGAAAACAATGAAGACAAACTGCTACATATTTTGGTCACGACATAAACTAGAACAGATGCTAAATAAATTTCAGAAGGATGTCTAATGATTGATTTAACAAAAGCATGACGAATTATGGTATGGTAATAAATGGTATCCCCATCCATTATAGCAAATCGTGTTTGAGAGCTGGCTGGCTGCTACCGAGTGTTGGGAAAAACTCAATAACTAAAATCTCATGCGTGAGTTTATTCATTCATGAGTTTTGCCTTGCAAAATTCAACTGCGCAAAAAATCAACGATGAGTTTTAAGGTTCAAAAATTCATTGCTTTATTTTTGGCGTTATTGATTGTTATTACTTTTATTTTTGCAACAGTGGATCGAAAACTAACACAACATGCATGTACATGCTATAAATTGAGGTTTGAGGTGTTTTGATGAGGGTTTTTTGATGATTTATTGGCGTTGTGAGTGTGAGTGCGTCAAAATGCATGAGAATCTCAAATGTGAGATTTGCTTGCTAGACTCGCCCGCAAGTTTATTCTCTCAGGGAGGCTCAATGGGGTTGCTTCCACTCACTTTCTATAAACAAATATTTTCGGTATTTTGGAGTCATTAGATGTTATAATAAAAAAATGTACTTGTTAGATACAAGAAGATTTTGAAAGGCAAGTGTTTGACACATAAAACCTGTCAATTTCGCTTTCAGAATATCATAATCAGCGATTTTATGATTCGTGAACGTTCACTCAGAGTGAGCGCTCGCGAGTCGTGAAATCGCTGATTGTGACTATCTGCAAGCGAATTCAACAGATTTTATGTGTCAAACTCTTGCCTTTCAACCTCTTATTGTATCTAACATGTACCCTAAAACGGGGTTTTTGATATATAGGGTTAACTACCCCATTTCCGGCCTATTAAGTACAACCAACAATCAATACGAAACTAACGATTTTAAATTGGCTCACCACTTTAGTAGCCTATTGGTCCCAAGCAAACGATTAACGTACCCTATTCTAGTTGAAATTCTATTACTACACTATGTTTGTTTTGATTCGCTATGAATGTTTGACAGATAACATCAGGGGTGTGTGGATTGATGCTGAACATGCAGGGGTGAGTGAAATAGCTTGGGACTGCTTGGGACCGTTGTTCTGGTACTGAGTGAGCCAAAAATAATAATGATTTTCTTCGGGACCCAGTGGTCTTAGAGTTACCTCTATGGTACAACCCGCACTTTGACTTTCTTAATCTAGCGTGTTTTAGCACCAAACGGAATGTTATTATTACTGATGGCCTCCAAATTTATTTACCTTTCCGTATGTAAAAAAAGTTCTCAGATCACAGCAGTTCCAAGAGTTGCTGGAGATCTAGATGTTGCCAGAGCTATGTTAACACTTATCCAGTGAGTTATAAGTTATAGTTATAACACAGACAAACAGACATAACACATTGAATATTTCTCAATGTAAAACATCGTCGCTAAAACATTACCGCCATCTGTTGAGAACACTGTGGTGGGTAGTAGGCTGAACAGATGGCGGTAGTGTGAAAACGTCAAACGTAAGGGAATTGACTATGCGCGCCACAGGTGGCGGTACTACCAACTACGATACTTTTAAATTGACCGTTAAATGCTTGTTCGATAAACAACTTGCGAGTGTTATGTCTGTTTGTCTGTGGTTATAAGTTTAAAAATCTGCGGAAAATAAAAAAAAATAGCAAATTTATTCTGATCTTGTATGACAAATGGCTCTAATGTTGGCCTATGGATCTAAGATTGGACCCTTCGCTAAAAATCTGCTATTTATCAATTTTATCTAGATGAAAGCGTCATTGGGACGGTAGTTTTTGTCACTATTGAAAATTTAGTCGATTGCTGAATTTATGTATGGCCCAAATTAAGGGCATATAGGCTGACATTACATGCATTTCCCCTACATACTTTCTGTTCTTCTATTAACCCCATTTTATGGTAGAAAATGAAATTGATCGATTTCACTGATTTCTTACGGATAACGGTTTATTTGAATATTTACCGACTTTTTCAGCAATTCAAAAACCCAGTAAAAATCAGGAGCGTGATGTGCAGTCAAATCGGCCTACGGAATATCCATCAATGAGATGATCAATGTAAGGCTCATTGAGTTTGTAATCTCTTTCGTTCTCCCGCTGTTTAAACGGCTGAAGGAGTGTGGCGTCAAACTCCGTCATCCATTTAATCAGCCGAAGAACGAAAGAGACGATCAATTTACTGGGCCTCACCTGTTTTTGCTCATTGATTTTCCATATGTGAATTTGGTTCCAAATATCAACAAACCATCGTTGCTTACGGCTTTGTTGTCGTTTGGAACCAGTTATGCGAGGTAGGCGACGATTGTTCGTATTTGACAGTTACCTCCCACCAGGTAAAAATACCGACTCCTGTAAAATAATCTAAGTAGGGTAGAGAACTACTTCGGCCTAATCGCCCATTTTGGGGCTATCGAGTAGAAAACATCAAATAAAACCATGATTTCGGCGTAATTGATGCGTTTGGTACGATTGTTCAGTTCAAAAGCTGCCGAACGAAGTCAATAAAAACGGGTGATATTAATGTTTGCACCCATTATTCTCAAAAACAAAAGAAGCGCTCCGAACGAATCAATTTTTATCTTCTTCCAATAGGCTAAATTGAATTCAATGCCGTTTTAATGTGTTAAACCAAATTTAGAATCCGTAGGCCGAGTTTGGGGTCAAGAAGCAGTATTAGATTTTTAACAATATTTCAACAATCAGTTACTCTTACTGGAGTTTTAGATATTCCTGAAGTTCAGTTCTTGCGGTTCTTAATATTTTAAAAGTTCTATAATTCTTTAATTCGTGAATATTTGGATTTTTTTTTGTATCCATTTCAATTTTCTAAAGCTTCTTAGTGCCGTAAGGATTGATGGAAGACATGAATTTGGAAGTTTCCTCAGATTCAGATGTTGTCCAGAAGTTCTACAGAGTGAGGTGGAGTAACTGTTACTTAAAAATGGACATAACGGTTGAACACTTGCATGATTTATTGATATCAGTGTATTTCAGATATGAAGGATGTTAAGATCAAAATTTGGTTAACCAAATGCGTGTCAATTGATTACTTTTATTAATTAAAAAATCAAATTATTTTTCTTTTTTAAGTTCAATTACTATAGAACACAAAAAAAAAATCAGCTCAACTGATGGTTGACCAAATCCGAATTTCCGGGCATTTCGTTTAGCTCCTGCTATCAGATTTTGTACAGCTACTTGGTTCACTTTGTTCGCCGCAGAACGCCAGTTGGCCTTAAACTGCTTCTGGCTTCCAACAGTTTTTTGGGTCTTCTTCAAGATCCGCTTGACGATGGCCCAATATTTTTCGATTGGGTGTTTCTCTGGCGTGTTGGGAGAGTTCTTGTCCTAGGGGACCACCTGCACGTTATTGGCGGCATACCACTCCATGGCCTTTTTTTCGTAATGCCAGGATGCCAAATCCAGCCAAAACAGCACGGAACAATCGTGTTGCTTCAGGAAAGGCAGCAAACGTTTTTCCAGACACTCGTTCACACGTAAATTTCCTGGTTGACGGTCCCGGTTGCATTGAAAATGTCGCTTTTCAAGCCACATGTACAGATAACCTGCCAAACCAGATATTAGCGAACTTCGACAGTTTCATATACTTGAAAATGTCTGCCATCTCTCCCCTTCCGGTTGCCGTATAAAACTCCTGCCTAGGAAGCTGTCTGAAGTCTGCCTTGACGTGCTCGGCGTGCGAGTAGTTCGAATTTTCGCTTAGATAAGATTTGTAGAGATAAAAAATGGTACGTAAATAGGTATAATTATTAAAAACATTAAAATCATTTTCAGTAAGCGAACGTTGAATGTATATGATAAGTTTATGCCGTTAAATATGATCGAAATCCAGTAAGCTAAACTAACAAACCGTAGAGTACAGCATATCTACAGCCTCTTATGGAGTTTTTATCATATACTATGCATAACATGGAAATGAAATCTTTCAGAATGCAGCGTCAACATCAGAACCAACCTGCAGACTCATGAACCAGTATTCTTTCGTTCGGCAAACCAGTTGTGGTCTCCGGATGGACCTGCATTGGTCTGGAACTCTGGTGAGACGACCACTATATCCTGCCAGCGAGGAACGCTCAATGGATGTAAGTCTTCCGTATTGTATGAGTATTTGTTACAAATTTTCAACCTAAACTATATCTTGCTTCTGCAGTCGGCACCGCAACTGCTTCCCTCACATGTCAATCGGGGACATCCTTCACCATCGGTGGTACGCCCGTTGCCTCGTCTGCGCTGACATGCTCCCAACGTATTACTGGAGAAATTCAGGAAACTACTACATCCTGTGGTGCTGGAGCTGGACTGTTCAGAAATATCGGATTTCTGAATCCCAGTAATCAGTTGGTCACGTACATTCAGTCCTGTTACAACATGAATACGGCATCAGTTATCTATACCCGCCATATCATTCCGGGGCGGGCAATCAATCGTAAGTCCTCATTGTTATTTCTGTTTCTGTTAAATTATAGTTGCTAATCGACTAATAATCTCCACAGATGCCATCCAGGAATCTTATCGTCCATCGTTTAAGGTAGCGGGAACTGCTTCCCATGTGAGCCCAGCCACTTCGTACACTACAGCATCGCAGGCTGTTCGTCTTGCAGCTTTGTTAGGTTCACAAGCGCAGGCTGATCGATTCATCACCACCAGTTCCTACATGTCCCGTGGGCATCTCTCTCCCGATGCGGACGGTATCTTCCGTTCGTGGCAATGGGCTACTTACTTCTATGTTAACGTAGCTCCTCAATGGCAGGTGAGATTCGTGAGATTGTTCCTTTGTGATATATTTTCTTTCAAGTGTATTATTCAAGGTTGTCAACGGAGGCAACTGGCTAACTGTGGAGGTTGCCACTCGTAACATTGCTGGACGTTTGCAAGAAGACGTTCTAATCTTCACTGGTGCTCACGATGTTATGACCTTGCCGCACGTTAATGGTCAACAGATTCCAATCACCATGGAGGCCGGTGGTATCCAGGCTCCGAAGTGGTACTGGAGGATCATCAAGTCACCCAGTACCAACTCGGGTATCGCATTGATCACCAACAATGACCCGTTCCGAACTAGCATGCCGGCTGGTGAAATGCTCTGCTCGGATGTGTGTAGCACCTACGGATGGGCCAATGCTAACTATGGAAACTTCGCTCGTGGATTCACCTACTGCTGCACCGTAGCTGCACTGATGAATGCCATTCCGGCCATTCCTGCTGAAGCTGCCGTGTCCAATGTGCTGCGGTTTTAAATATATGCGCTTATTGTAAAGTGAATGATGATGATGATGATGCTGTTCTATGAAAATTTATTGCCACTCTTTTCGCTATCACTGCCGCAAGTCGTTGCTTTTGTATACGGGCAGGCTTACAGAATGAAGTAAGGTACACCGGGGCAAGTTGAAATGCGCGGGGATGTTGAAACGGGTAGCATATCTATAAGCGGAAGAGCATCTTCACTGTGAGTGTAATTGTCTTCTTCTTCATCATCATCTTCTTCATCTTCATCATCATCTTCTTCTTCTTCTTCTTCTTCTTCTTCTTCTTCGCATGTCAAGCTTATTGCTTATCACATATTAGCTCATCCCCTAGCAGCACACTTATCACAAAACGGTTGTAGTAACTCCTATGCGACTTATTCCGGTCATAATCAAGTTACCGCAACTTTTTGAGACCGAAGTGTGTTGCTTGGGTCGCGTGCTCTCACTTTAGTGTTATAGATGCACTTTCACAGTTATTAATTAGGAGCTTTCGATGCCTGTACCATTTTTGCATTAGTACAGCAATACCAACCGGTGGAAACTAACGATTTTAAATTGGTTCACTACTTGACTAGCCTATTGGTCCCAAGCAAACCGATTAACATACCCCATTCTAGCCGAAATTCTAATACTACACTATCTTTGTTTTGATTCGCTATGAAAGTTTGACAGATAATCTGAGGGGTTCGTGGATTTTTCTATGTTTCTAGGGGTGCATCGATTAGATTGGGACCGAAGAGAGTACTAGAGCTGAGCCAAAAAGTTGTGCACGTTTCTTCGTGATCTGGTCTTAGACTTACCTCTATGATAATACCACCGGCCATCCACCGCTATTTATCGGCTGTCCTTCAACCAAAAACGCTGATGTTTTGTATGTGATTAGCGTCAACTATAAACTAGTTATCTACAGAAAATCAGCTAAATTCGTTAATGGACAACCGAGAAACAGCAAAGGGTTGACGACAACACCTATCGCATATATGGAGGGATTACTGTAACTTAATGTAACGTGCTAGATATCGTATGATCAGTTGATCTGATCTCAGACAGGTGTCTCTGAACCTTTCCAGAATGAATTCACTCCGTTCTTCTAATGTCTGAATTCCAGCCAGGAGGTGGATCTCAGAATTTCAAGTCCACAGGCTGTGTAGGATTATCTTTAGGATCTTGTTCTGAATCCTTTGTTTTAGGAGATGGCATATGGAACAACTCTCCCAAATTAGGTATATCATACTTAATAACAGGTTAGAGGCACGAAGAGTGAGTGGGACAGGTGGGAATTGTCCTACGCACAAAAATAGTCATAGCTTATAGCTAGTCTTGATACCCGATCCAGGTTGGAACTGAATAATAAACAAATTAGCTATTAGTTAAATCCTGAATTAATCCTCCAATCATATCCTTCTTACTAATAGAATTTCCGACTAAAGTGCTCATACGATGAGAAAGATAGATGAATTTTCATGTGATTTGATTTAACGCATGATGGATTTTGGCCCTTAGAAACTGGAGCCGGGGGTTCCCGGAACAGTCCTCTGCTCTGATTATTACTACCATTGAACTGGTTTTTGAATTCTCATGTCATTTGAAGTGTAACGTGATAGGTTTTATTTATTTCAAGCCGCATTTAGTTTCATGGCATTTACAAGCCAGAACATGTTCCTGCCATACATCTCCAGAACCAGTTCACGAATCAAAAAAATATTAAAAAAGTTCTATGAGACCATAATACCAACAATCAATACGAAACCACAGACAAACAGACGTAACTCTTCATTGTGTATCTTCGTTCATGCATTTAACGGTTGATTTGAATATTATCAGTTCCGCGAACTACTCGCCGCAGCGCTGGCATCGGATCACTTTGACGTTTCTATATATTCTATAGAACTTTTATGCAATATTGTTTACGAGTTAGCGAGCAAGCTTGTTTTCCGCGAGAAGCCAGAGAGATGTCGTTACTGAGGTTATATGTTTTGAGATACTATGTTTTCAAGAACAAGTTTTTCAAAGAGTTACGTCTGTTTGTCTGTGACGAAACTAACGATTTTAAATTGGCTCACTACTTGACTAGCCTATTGGTCCCAAGCAAACGATTAACGTACCCAATTCTAGTCGAAATTCTACTACTACACAATGTTTGTTTTGATTCGCTATGAAAGTTTGACAGATAAAATGAGGGGTTAGTGGATTTTCGAGGGGTGAATCGATTAGCTTGGAACCGAAGAGAGTACCAGAGCTGAGCAAAAAAGTCGAGCACGTTATTTCGGGACCTTCTAGTCTTAGAGTTACCTCTATCATAATACCAACCCGTGAAAACTGACGATTTTAAATTGGCTCACTACTTGACTAGCCTATTGGTCCCAAGCAAATCGATTAACGTACCCCATTCTAGTCGAAATTCTAGAACTACACTGTATTTGTTTTAATTCACTATGAAAGTTTGACAGATAAAATGAGGAGTTCGTGGATTTTCCTATGTTTCGAGGGATGCATAGATTAGCTTGGGACCGAAGAGAATACCAGAGCTGAGCCAAAAAGTTGAGCACGTTTCTTCAGGACATTCTGGTCTTAGAGTTACCTCTATGATAATACCTTGTCCCACCCACATCTTTGAAGGTGGACGCGCCACTGAACAGGTAGGATTAGTTGTCTATAGACAGCAAGCTTATTTTTCTAGGATAAGGTGAACTTGCTGTTGTGATATGATCGTATCAAGATCCTGCACTTGGTGTTCATTTTGTCAATGTGTTCACTGAAAAGAAGCTTGCTGTCTAGTATTAGTCCGAGGCGAGGGGCAATTCACTGCTCTCGAGAATGAATCGAAAATACGTTAATGAAAAAAATACACAAAAATTCATCATTACTCGTCATTATTCAAAAAAATGCAAAAAAATACAAAATTCGGAAAAAAAATACAAAAATATTCGACGAATAATAAAAATACACGATAATTCGTCATTTGCACGAAAAAATCGAAAATATGTACAATCAAAATGCTGAATTCGAAAAAAATGCGTAAATTTATTATTTTGTGTTTTAATCCGAGCTTGAATCACAAAACAATACATTAATGAGTACAATTTCGCCCATTTTTAAGAAAAGTGCCTTAAATCATTTATTAAATAAAAAAAACATTTTGAGTAGTTGTGAGCCACAAATAAGTAACGATAATTCATTAATGCGTAATGTAACAGATGTAGCGTAATGTAACAGATGCTTATTAATGCGTAATGAGCGAGGTAAGGGGCTGTTCATAATCTACGTAGACAATTAAGGGGGGATGGCAATTATTCGCGGCCCATACAAATTTTAAAAATTTTGTCTGGACATTTGTCTACGCAGGTTTATAAGGGGGGGGGGGGGCGAGGAAACCCCAAAAAACTGTCTACGTAGTTAATGAGTTAAGCCTCTTTTCTTTAAAATGGGTGAAATTCTACTCATCAGTGGGTATTTTAAAGTTCACGTGTGTTGTGCATTTGTCAAACAAAACGTCAACATTGTGAGTTTGATCCGTTTGATCCTCGGTTCGAGTAGAGTCGGTGTATAATGAGTCACGCCAAGAGAAAAACAGTTGAACTCGCATCACGGTTTTCGGAAGATTTCCATTCTTTTCACTTGGCAACAGAGGACTTCTACAACAACTTCAAATGACTTCTAGCGAGAGAAAAAATATTGCGGCTGTAGTAAATCATTATATCAGTGATTTTGTCAAATTATCTTAACAAAAAATAGTAGAAATTCTTATTACTAATCATTACCGAGCGTATCCCATGACAATTTAACGCTCATTGCGTGTTTATCCTCATTTCTTCGATTATATTTTATATTTTATTGCAATACCTTTCGTGGACCTTTCATAGCATCGTAATGTTTATTTATTTTGCACGATAGGTAGCCGGTTTGACAGTTCAATAGGTAGACTTGGCTTCACTCTTGGCGTGACTCATTATACACCGACTCTAGGTTCGAGTAGTAAACATAAACACTGAAATGACAGAATACATCAATACATTAATGCATAAAAATACACTTTTATTTTTCTAATACACAAAAAAAAATACATATATTCAAAAAATACAAAAAAATACATTATTACAGAAAATACACGTTTATTCGATAAAAAATACTTCAATACGTTCATCAATACGTTGGCCTGAATCGAAAATACACAAGTGAATCGCCCCTCGGTCCGAGGTACCCAACCTGTTTGGACCATTCCACCGCTGAGCTGTATAATCAGATCTTATTGTTTTCCAGCGGAACAAGTCTTGGTGATTGGGAAGGTGGAAATATGATGACCTGTATCTTCACCGTGTTGATACGGATCGTTGTTGTTGAAATACTGAGACAAGACATCCAAACCTGTCTGAAGTTTGACAGTAAGAGCTCCGATGACCATTCCCTTGTAGGCGATGGATGTGTCATCTGTAAACAGAGACAATGTTTCACCATCTGGGAGAGCCGGAATGACGGAGGTAAACAAGTTGAAGAGCCAAGGATACTTCCTTGCGGAATGCGCGCACCACTGGTGTCCTGTCTGAGAGATAATTTTGGATGATCTTCACGAGGAAGATTGCAAGACCGTATCGTTGTAATTTGTACACGAGGCCATCATGCCAGACATTATCAAACGCTTTTTCAACATCTAACAATATCATGATACAGTCTTCTTCCGTTTGAGAATATTGCTTACTCGAGTCAGTTGGTGAGTAGCCGACCGACCTTGTCGAAAACCAAACTGCTCCTCGAGTAAGATGATATTTTCATCGACAGATGTATGAAGACACCTGTAAGTAGCTTTTTCAAGGAGCTTTGATAACCCTGCGAGAAAGCTGATAGGTCTGTAGCTTGAAGGAGAGGAAGGATTCTTCCCAGGTTTCCGGATGGGTATGACTTTTGCTAAGTTACAGCACGAGGGGAACTGGCCAAGCCTAAGCTTGGAAGATGTGATGTAAGCCAACTGTTCGTAAGCTGAAATCTCTGAAACTTCGGGGAAGTTGTTGGGAATCAAATGAAGGTTGGCTGCATT